TTTCCTACTATTTAAACATTTATATTACACTTCATTTTACCTTATTTGAGTACCGTGTAATTCTCCTAAATTAGGTTATTGAGAAAAAAACAAGACAGAACACTTCTGTATTTCAGTTGTTGCAAAATACTGTTTTGGTCAAAGATGTGGAAACAAATCTGACTTCACACTGAAAAGTAATTAGTAAAAGAAATATTTTAATACTCCTTTCAGACAGTTGTGAATATTATTTGATACTAGTGTTAGTACTTGCTGAAAGTGCCAGTTTATTTTGAAGGTTATTTAAAAATCCATTGGGTTAATTTAACTTTGAATAGATCTTTTCCCCATACAGTTTTGTTAACATCATATATCAATTAATTAAAAAATAGTGATCCATTGGCTTAATCATATCTTTTTGATGTTGACTGATGCATTCATTAATCCAAACTAAAATCACATTTGTTAACACTCTAGTTTCATCAAATGTCTGCTAGATACACATATATAAATCTCATGTAATCATAGCTTGCCAGTTGGTATCTCACCTGGTCTTACAGAAAAAATTCGGTTCTTTCAAAGGTTTGGTATCGAGTCACAAAATGCTTTTTAAAAATGATAACCATCTCATTTTAGACTGTTGTGGAATTGCTTTGACACTCCTTTTTTGTTGGATAGAACATTAAAAAAGACACACTCAAGGATAAAGATTAATAAAGTTAATATTTTTAGTGCTTATCAGGGATATTCGTTTCCTATTTTTAAATGCAAGTTAATGGATGTGTAGAAGACAGTGTGATTACTTATTAAAAAACAGACTTTGATTTGTGCTTAACCACTAGGAATTTTATCGGCTATTGTCTTTGCATCATTAGTGTGAATGTTTGTCAGTTGAAAATGCAGATACAGTCATAGGATTTTCAGTATTTCTTGTTAATAAGATCCCTGGTATGGTGCTGACGGATAAGCACTGGATTGGTAACTGTGACAGCAGTTCTAACTAACTAGCAGCTTTTGGAGACCCTATCTAGTCTCTGTGATTCAGAACCGACTTGATGGCACACAATAGCAATTAATAAAAGGGGTGCTTGTGGCACAATTGATGGTTTGACTCCACCTAGCAGCTTTGGGAGACAAAAACCTGTCAGTAGGCTTCCATAAACATTGCACCCAAGAAAATCCTATCAGGCATTTCTTCTCTGCCACTGACTCAATAGCTCGAAACAATATTCTTAATGGTGGTGGTGGTGGTTTTGTGCCTTGGTGTCGGTTCCCACTCATAGCGACCCTGTACAGGGTTTCCAAGGCTGTAAATCTTTACCGGAGCAGAAAGCCTCATCTTTCTCCAGCAGAGCAGCTGGTAGTTTGGAACTGCTGACCTTGAGATTAGCAGTCTCACTCCTAACAACTAAGCTACCAGAGCTCCTTAACATTTTTAATAATACATGAAATAATTTTGACTGTGTGCTCAGAGTTTGTCTTGGGGATTCCTAATGTTCATTGGACCGACCACACTTAGAGAACCCGTATTATAGTATAATGCTTTGATAGGTGCTTCTAGAAGTAATTTATATTTCCTTTCCTCTTTTTTTTTTTTCTTCGGTCATGTGAACTTAAGCTGATTTGAATCACAGTGTTCAAATAAGTCATGTACATTGTTCTATTAATGTAAAGTTACCCGTTTGCTAGATATTGATCTTAATCGTTGAAATGCTTGAAGAATGAAGATACCTTGAAGATATTTTGTAAAATAGTTTGGGCAGAAATTTAAAGGCAAATTCTATCATGTGACTCTCAATGAGACCTTGAATAAGTTATTTTAACAGCTTTGTGCCTCTGAATTACCACCACAAAAATGTGAATAATCTGCTCTAAGATAAACTGAATTAGTAAATACAAAACTGATTCTCATTTGTTAGTTTACTCCACTGTAGACTTTTGATATTTTAATTACATGTAAGTTGTTTCATTCTTGTGCCAGTAATTAAAGTACTCAACTGTTAACTGTAAGTTTCCAAATCTTATAAGGTAGTTCTACTGTAATTTAGGAGTCCTGGTGTGGTTAATGAGGCAGACTGCAAAGTCTATTGAACTGCAAGGTCAGTGGTTCAAACTCACCAGGTGTTCCTTGGAAACCCTATACAGGGTCACTATGAGTTGAAATGGGCTTGATGGCACTTAACAACATCTATAATTTACAGGATTTCCATGAGTCTAGAATAGACTCATGGTCTTCATGCTTTTTTCAGTGTGGTGCTGTTGGTTAATGCGCCAGACTGCAAAGCCATTTGAACTGCAAGGTGGGTGGTTCAAGCTCACCAGCTGCTCCTTGGAAACCCTATATACAGGGTTGTTATGGGTTGGAACCGAGTTGATGGCACTTAACAACAGCATGCCAGGATGTTAATTTTTTTGTAATAAACATCCTTTACATTTAAAAAAGTTATATTATGTAGCTGTTCTAACTTGAAATGTATTAAGAATAACTCAAAAGAATTGGAGTACCTTGTGTAAGACTTGTTGACTGGACACATATTTGCATTTCACTTTGTCAAATGATTATTATTTGATATACCAGTTATAATGAGAATACTGTCTTAATTTCAGCTTAAACACAATTATCTTCATAAATATACTGTGTGTTCTAAAAATTTTTTTCATTAGGATTATATAGTTCTAGATTTATACAGCTATCTAAAAATAATACCAGGAAGCTGGCAACCTTTTTTGTACCTAAAATAGTTAAAGAATCATGTCTTCATATTACACTGTTTATAGGTTTTTAAACTTATTAGTAAAACTGTAAAGTAGTATTCATTATTTATCTTTAAACATGTTTGTTAAATTCAGTTTTTGTATGTTTAGTAAAAGAATTCTCTAATACGATGCCAAATTAATTGTGATTTTAATTTTAATAGCGATATGCCCACTTTCGGGTATTACAAGACATTCTCATTATCTTGTCTAAAGTACCGGAACCAGTTTTTATTGGAGCATTAGAAAGGGAATGTGATTGCTATGATGTTGGATAGATTGCTTCAGAAAAGTGACAGATTTTCTATCAAATTCTTTTAAAGGATAAAATGACAAAATGAAATCAAGAATAATGAAAGCAGTTATTTATAAGAATAATAAGCTTGACTTTTTTGTTCCAGAAAGTGATAGGTGGATCTGGAAGTATGAAGAGATCATAAGTCAGGAATGTCTTTGTACTTCCTTTTCATCCTCTCCTTTCTCCTGAATGACTCATAGACACCCAGTTAGTGTGTTAATGTTTGGAAATTGAAGTTTCAAACAGCAACACTGTTAAAATTGTTCTCAATTAGTTGTTAGGTATTATAGTGGTAACCTTTCAGAGTAAATATAAAAGAAAATATATAAATTAAGCCCTTGTCCCTTATTAGTTTTGATTATAGAATTCATGTATGTTTTTGTAGTGTCAGAATGCAGCCAGCTTCTGAACAAAACAGCTACAATAAATAATACTATGACAGTTTAGGTATGCTGAAAATATAGTATTCATTGGTATTTGACGTGTTGATGAAGCAGTGGCAAATTTGCTTTATTGATAGTGTTGATGCATGTGATGATAAAATAGATTTTCACATGATGCTTGATAAATATTTAAAATTTTTTATAGTATTTTTCCCCTCCCACAGGACAATAACATCCTTTCACAGTCAGCAGTTATATGTGAAGACATTTATTTTAAGGAATTTTTTTAAAAGGGAGAATTCAAGTGAAAATATCTTAATGTAACTGAAAATTTCTGGGTTTTATGATCCATGATTGAGTGTGTGTGTTAGCTTGATGAAGGATAACTTTAGGCCATCTTTAGTAGGTTAGATAAACTTGCTACTTATTGTCCTGTAGTTTTGATAATAGCCTTTTATTTTTTTTTTATTTCTAGCCTTTTCTGAGTGCTTTTTTACCACTATTTTGTATTGTAGCTTTAGCAAACACCTTAAGAAAACTCCTGCTGAAAATTAGAATTGTACTTTCTTTAGATTTAAATAGTACTGCTTTGTCTCACAGCAGAACATTTCTCATCGTGGTTAGATTCAACAGTTTTCAAGTGATTGGAAAAAAGGGGAAAATAACATTTTAACCTTAACCTTGAATAATTTTACCTAAAGTTTTAATTTATTAACTGTTAATAAATTAGAGTTTATGTGTAGTAGTTTTTCCACTAATACTTCAGGAAATTTGAATATTTCTAAGCCCTTTTTTGTTACGGTTAACCACAAAAACATTTTTTAGAATTTGCCAGTGGTGTAACCCCTTTATTTAAGTTGTCAAATAAAAGCGTTGCTCAGTTAAAGGAAAAAATTGTTCTGCTTTAACTGAGCAGTGAAATTTGAAGCAGTGAAAAAAGGTGAAACTTTTGTGCAGTTGGAACTTTTAAGGAATATAAGAAAACGTCAGAAAGTTTATGGAAATATTTTTTTTCCATTACATTTTTCTACGAGCTTTTTGAAGCCCCCTTGTATCTATATACTGTGGGTGAAACAATGCTTGAGTGATTGAAAAATACAAGATGGGTCACTGGCTGGAGGATAGACATGTGTTCAAAATAAAGCACAGTTGTTATTGTAAATAACTGCATTTTCAGCGTACTGCCCCCACAAGGTTTATATTGTGTGTTTGAATGAATTAAAATATTTAATAGTAACAGTTATTTTACTTGTGGCCTGAAAGGAAGATGGTGGTTATTGCTACATTTTTCTTAATCTATAGGTAAATGTCTTTGATGCATTGGAATGAGACCATTTGAAATATTTTATGATAGTTTTAATGTATTGTGATTGATAATTTTATCTTTGTAATATGTCTGTATGTTCTAAGTTATTGTTGAGTATTAAGATAGGGCAGAGAAGTTTCTTTTCAGTGTTAAACTATTTTGGAAAACTTTTTTTATATGTTAAGCGACATCCCAATTGATTCTTTCTTTTTGATTTTAGATTGGAAATGTAAAGTCTTGAGATTGATAGGTTGACTGTGACAACTATGTTTGCTTACAGAGAGAACAGGAAATGAGAATGGGTGATATGGGTCCCCGTGGAGCAATAAACATGGGAGGTAGGGATTTGAAGAAAAGCTTCCTATAACTTATCATTCTTTGGGGAAATGTACATGCTGTTTGTGGTATCGTACAAAATAATGGTATAAAACCTTGTAAAGGTGAAGACTCTTAACATTTATTAAATTAATATTGAAAATGTGTCAAGAAAATTTTCATACTCTTTATATGAAAAATATAAAAACAAGTTGGGCTTTGATAGATTTAATGAAATAGACCTGTAATTAAGTTTATTATTTAGACTGAAACTAGTTCAGTTTATGGAAGTGCCATATAACTAAGTTGTATTTTAAAAATGTAACTTCATTTAAATTTAATTTGTAGTTTGCAAATTTACTGTTTTCTGGATTGTAGTATTTTAATGTTTTTGTGGAACGTATGCATTTTTCATGCTATTCTTTTTTGTAACTTGGAAGCTCTTTTTATCAAAGATTTTGCACTTTCCGCTTACTACATTGTTGAGCACAGAAACACAATGTTAGAAGCTGTCAGTCTCGTGTCAAGAATGTGAGCCTAAACAAATAATCATTTTAGACTTGATCTGATCTTTAGACTTGAACTGATACACATCTTTAGACTTCATCTGATTTTTATAGAGTACCTACTTTAGCATTTTGAATATTGATTAACTGTATCAGAATCAAGTGAAGTGAAAAAATTGTGGAATGTATATCTGTAACATGAAGACTTATTTACAAAATCCAGTGTGTTCTTATAGAGAATTGAAAAACAAATCTTAAGCTATAACAATAAAAAATATATAACAATATGAGGAATTAGCATGTTTTTATGATCAATCTATTTTTCTTCATTGTTTCTACAACTAATGCCAGTTTTTTTTGCCAAGAAGATCAGTCAGATAATCTAGAATAGTATATTGCTACTTACTTGATCTCTTTTCTTATGTGTCTGTAAGTAGTAACTGACAGTCTCTGGTATACGAATGAATCAGATGTCATGTCCCTTGCTTATAAAGAATTCAGTTTTAGAATTAGTGTAATGTATTTGCTAAATAATAAATGAGCAAACATGATGTTAGAATTTAAAAATTGTTCAGCATGGTTGAGTGTACTAGTAGTATGTTATTTGTGTTGTTTTCAAAGTAATCTCTGTAAGGGTGACTTTTTGAGATCATTAAAATGAAGCTTCTTTGGAATTAGGGTCCTTATTTAGTTAGGAATTCAAGATCATTTACATTTTTTATGACACCTTAGTACCAGAGACTCCTATTAACATTTCTGTGCTTCCAGCTCCAGATTTTGTTGAATGTGCAACTTTATCATAATTGTTTACTGAAATTATTGATCGTCATCCAATTAAAAGTTGCTAATAAAAAGCTCTGGTAGCGTAATGGTTACAAATCGGGATGTGAACCTCAGGGCCAGCAGTTCGAAACTACCAACTGTTCCCTGGAGAAAGATGAGGCTTTCTGCTCCCGTAAGGATTTACAGCCTCAGAAACCCCGAGCAGGGTCCTTATGAGTTGGAACCTACTCCACGGCTCATTACCACCACCAATTAGAGTTAGGTTCCATCAAATTACTGCGATGGAATATGGAATCAGATTTTTTGGTGTATTACTGGTGGTAGCATAATGGTTATGAATCAGGCTGTGAACTGCTAGGTGAGCAGTTTGAAACTACCAGCCGCTCTGTGGGAGAAAGATTAGGCTTTCAGCTCTCGTAAAGATTTACAGCCTCGGAACCCTGTACTACAGGGTCGCTATGGGTTGGAACCGACTCCATGGCACATAACAACAACAACATTTATAGATAGTCATATAGTTCCAATCTATTTAAGTTAAATATTAGTAATTACTCTGAATTGAAAAGGGGAGGGAAGATCCTTAATCTCTTACTGGGGGAATTTTGAGGTAAGGATTATGGACAATATCCTCTATTCTCCCTCATTTCCCTCATGGGAGACTCTGGAAATTTATTAAAAATTGCTCTTGACACCTTGAGCAAGGGAATGGAAATAATTCAAGTGTAAGTGTGTTAACAGAAGAGTGTTGGGAATAAGGAAATAATTCCTTTATGTGAATTCACTAAGTTCTTGGAAAGAAGAGTATTATATAGAGCCAGTAGGATTAGACACTGAGATGTCTTCCTTTCCCCTCAGCTGTTGTTTGGACTGGGCTTATAGAGAATTGTACTGTGTTAGATACAGTTGTAGGGTTGTGGGTTTTATCGAAAATTTCAAATGTGTTTATAATGTTATTGTTGGGAAATTGATTTCAGAGTTTCAATTTTCTGTCACTCAGAACTCAAATTTCCTATTTAATGAAATATTAAAGAAAACCAATAAGTTAGAATTATTCTTTATTAGTTTTTTATTAGCACTTACGAAAGTGGGGGGATTATAAATGTTGTACTTGAGACCTTTTCATACAGCAATGTAGCTCAAGTACTGTTGCAGTTAATATTAAACCAATGGGTATTCTTTTGAGGACAATAGTTCTGAAGAATTGTATTGGCTCCCATTTCCAAAATTTTGACATGCCAGAGTTTATAGTAATATTTTAACTGTATTTAGTTGCAGTTGATTTTTGAAATGTCATGCCATTATGAGTGATTTCCTTTTGTTTAGATTGCATATTTCTTTTTAAAAAACTTTAAATTGCCTCTTGTTATTAAGGGGTGTTCAAATATATATGAAATTTGAGAGTTTTAGTAGTAGTGAACTTGTTCTGTTTTGCAGGAAATAATTTCCCCTCACATCTTAATTCAGTTTATGTGTCAGCATTTTTAGCTATGACATAAAAAAAAAATTTGTTTTTTAAGAGCTAATCCTTCCTTCATTGCTGATATATACTGTCAGAGTAGTCACTATTATGATGAAGTATTTGGTTAAAAAGCAATAATATGGATACTTTAAAACTTCTAGACTTCCGTATAAATTATTGCATTTCTTAAAATAACTGATTGCTTCATTTGTTTTTAAGTACATTTATTTGAAGGGTGACAGTTCTAAAGTATATTCAGTACTCTTTTGCATAGTATACTATGGAGAATTTCTTTATTAAGGAAGGAAAATGCTTTTGGTAATCTTGCCGTATGAATTTTTAAAGTGCTAAAATGTTAATGTTTACTAAACTAAGATAGGACAGCTCTAAGTATAGATTGTTTTGCATAGATGCGTTTAGCCCAGCACCTGCTGGTAACCAAGGTCCTCCTCCAATGATGGGTATGAATATGAACAACAGAGGAACTATCCCTGGCCCACCTATGGGGCCTGGTCCTTCCATGGGACCAGAAGGAGCTGCAAATATGGGAACTCCAATGATGCCAGATAATGGAGCAGTGGTAATGTATCATAAACATTATTTTGATTATATATAGTAACATGCACTTCTTCCTCAAAGGTAACTTCACACTTAGCATAATTCGGCATCTTTTGTTTATGTTACAGAGATCAGCATCCAATAGTAAAAAAGTAATTTTTATGAAGTTATCTACTGATTTATGCAAGACAATTCAGTTGCCCCAAAGTTAAATATAACTTACATTCTGTGGCAAGTAGTTTTCCAGTCTTTTACATTTGCATCTACCTTTTACCAGCATTGAATGGTATTGGTCAAGCTTATTTCATGATGATGTGTTTTCCTGTGTGCATGCTTCATTAGACAGTAAGTAAGGCCCATATAAATGAAAATATAATTTTCAGCTGATGCTTTTAATCATTTCACCATGATCTGTTTCAGAAACTTTAATTGAATTTATATTTAAATTTTTATTATAGTCTATGTATATTGCTGTATTTCATCATTGTAGAATAATTAGTTATGCTGTTACTAAATTTAAAGTAACAATTTTTGATCTTGATTTGAGAGTGTGAAGTTATGTTTGGGTTAAATTTTATAAAAATGTATTTTCAGTTAGAATTTTTATTATATTTGAATATCAGTACTAAAATGGATAATTTAATCATTTCCCCTAAAGTTTATCGGTTTGTCAGTGAAGCCTTACAGTGGCAAAACATTTTATTTAGAAGAGTTAATTAAGTGCATATTTTAGAAAGGCAGTTTTTGATAGCCAATCTTAAGGAGCCATTTTTCTTTAGAAAAAGCATTACCAATTAAACAAAAGCATGCCTCTAATTGTAAACCCATTCTTATTTCAGAGTTGTTAAGTATGTCTTAGAAATGATGAGTACAATGTTTATTGGTTTTTAGTTAATTTATATCACATACAATCTTTTAAGAATAATATTGGAAAACTAATAGGTTATTTTTTTGTCTTCTTTGAATGATAGTTTTTATTGGGAGATAAATAGGTAAAGCTGGTGGTTCAGACCCCTTGCGCTCCTTGGAAACCCTACAGAGGGTTCCTTTGAGTCTGAACTGACTCGATGGCACTTAGAGCAACAATAGTAGCACAGAGAGCAATGTGCTGATTCCTGCTATGAACAGGTTGTGCCTCATATTTAGTGGAGCTATCAGTTGGTTTCCTTTAATATCCGGGCTTTGTCTTATAGTAAAATATCTGAAATCTAGTAAAACTTTGCTTTACAGATAGTCCACCACTTACTGATGGGCTTGCTTACAGCATTTCTAAGTTGGCTCTGAACTAAATTGAGTATTTGTCTTTAAAAAAAAAAAACACAACACAATGTTTTGGACAGTAAATCATAAAATTGTACATCTGTGAGTTAGCATCTGAGAGTAACATCACTAAATTACCTATTGCAACATTGTACATAGTACATGTTACCAGTGATAAGAACCTCCCTCCCCCAATAAACCACTAAAACAGATGGTTGTGAGCGTATTTGTCATAGCTTGATGATGTCATAAGTTGGAGATTGCCTGTAGTTTGGTAACGTTATTGAATTTTAGTGTATAACTATCAGTAGTAGTGTTTGTTAACTGTCCCATTTTTCTAGCCTTAACCTAATAGTACAAACATTATTTAAATCTAGATGTATTTTCCACACTGACAGTTTACTATTATGTCAAGGGAATTCTTTTCAGCCTTTTTGATTAATATGTCATTATTATGAAGGTTTTCAGGATGTGTACTTTAATAGTTTAATTAGTAATATTTGTTAATAAATTGTTACTTAAAAAAAAAGCAAAACACTAAAAATTCTCATCTCTTTTCAAGGAAAATACCTCAGATTTCTGTATTGAAACTGGAATTTGTGTGTGCGTGTGTGTTCGTACTAGTACTTTGTATATATCAAATATGATCTCTTAACATATATGTTGAAAATTTTAGAATATTTATTTGAGGAAACATTTACTTTTTCAATAGATTTTGATGCTGCCATCCCAGTTTTAGCTCTGATTTTTCAACAGTGTTTTTCTTACATAGCATAACTATGTACAGTACCAAATTTATTTAAGGTAATATAGTTTTGTATTACAATACTGATAATAGCTTTCACTTAATGTCATAAAATCAGTTCTTTTTTTTATGAAATTGGGGCATAGCAATTAGCAGTTTTTAATTCTTCATATGTTTTTGTTTTGTTTTGTTTTAAACATAGTAACTAATTAAATTGCTCCTTTCTTCCTTCTATGTGTGATCCTGATTCTGCTGGACTTTCTGCTGAACTTCATGACACCACCACTTGGGATTTTGCCAATTTTTCTTGTTACTGACATTTGGCGTGTTCCAAATGGACTTCATATTTATTATGTGGTATACTAGCATAATGATAGATTTCCACAAGGACCACCATCTCAGATTGGATCGCCTATGGGTAGTAGAACAGGCTCTGAAACCCCTCAAGCTCCAATGAGTGGTGTAGGTCCTGTGAGTGGTGGTCCTGGTGGTTTTGGTAGAGGAAGCCAAGGGGGCAACTTTGAAGGCCCTAATAAGCGTCGTAGATATTAAACATTTTTAAAATTTCTATCTATTTAGAAATAATTCAGTGGTATGCCTTTTCACTTTCATTTGTTACTTGGAAGAAATGGTTTTATTGCTAATGTATGTAGACATCAAAACTTTTCTTTTGTAAAACTTGAGGTTTTGTATTTTTCTTTATTCATAAGCTTTGTAGATTAGAATGGTGACGATGATCATCATTGTGAATGTTAAAATGTGTTTGTAACTTTAGTTAATTGTAAGTTTGCCACAGTACTGTGAAATCTGTGTAGTTAAATCTCAATAAAGAAATCATTTTGCATTATTTTGAAATGTTACTAGTAGCATTCTCTTACGGTTTTACTAATCTCTGCTGTAATAGTAATACTTAGATTGCATTAATTAATCCCAGCCTTTGAAACTGAAAATGATTTTCTGTTTTTTTAGTTTGTGCAATAGTAGCACTAAAGTCAGAAATTTAGTAAATCCTAATGTCAATAAAGGGTAGTTAGAGCAGTACATATTTTGGGGGAAATGTGGGCCTATTCATTTGTATAAACCATTAATGTTCTGTGAATTCAGAGTTCTGTCTACATTTCATATAGATTCTAAATACTCGAATATTCTTAGAAGGAATATTAAGGATATCTTTGTCCTGTTCTGATCCCCTACCCCCCAAATAAATCATTTGAATCTTGAAAAAACAAAACTGTTTGAAGGCAAATCTCTTTTGCTTCTAAAATATGTGTACTTTTAATTTTACCTGTGTAATCTTTACTTCTTTAAAATTATTGATACCGTGTTAAGCTTTTTTTTAAATCAGTACTTTTGGATTGGTATTAAGTGAAGGTTTACTATATGGTTAATGATAATTAATTAGGTTATACATGTCTTGAGAATCTTGGTTTGTAGGAGTATTAAAAGTAGTTCTACACAGTATTCCTGTAGTTTGATAAGAGTTCTTTTCTCCAAATAATACAATTCAAATGGTGATTTTGAAAAAACGGATAATTTGGAAATGGAGAGTTGAGATGGTTGCACAGTGTGGTGAATGTGATTAACGCCATTGAATCAAGACACTTAAAAACAGGTTGAAACATTTTCTGTGGTACTTTTTTTGCCACAATTTAAAAGAACAAACTGAATTAACTTGAGAAATGGTGAGGATCATTGCAATCTAATTACCTTGTTGGTTTCATCTCATACCTATTTAGGACTTTGATATTGAGTTCGTAAGCCGATTCAGTTACAATGTTTATTCTAAATCATTGTCATAGTTTAATTTAAACTTTTTTATGCTGACTTTGTTTACCTAAGATACATATCATGAATCCCATATATAACTTGTACCACAGATCTAATTCATTAACAATTTACTTTAATACAATTATTTTCCAAACAGCAGTTCAGTGTGTTAACATATTTTGCTTTTAGAATTTTTCAAGAATAATATGCATTGGTTCCTCTTGTTTGATGGAATGCATATTTTGTAAAGAAATTTCGTTATTGTTTTAAACCTTGCATAAAAGCAGCTGGATGTTTATAATTGAAATCCATCCTTCAGTACCAATTAAGTTTTCTTATTTTTTTTATATTTCATGCAAATTTTCTAAGATTTGGAGTATTCGCAGGTTTTTGTTTGGGTAATTACTTGAAACGTGATTTGGAGATAGTAAAGTACACTATTCTCATCACATTTTCTATAAATACTAGGGCAGGAGAAAGATTTTTATAATTTGTGGCATTAATTGGGGCTGGGAAGTTCCACATTGATTGGTTACTTTTCAGTGATTGTCTGTTGACTTGAATCTACATTTTCCATCACTGATTTTACATACAATCTTTAGTTGATTTTTATCATTGTATTTCACTTCAAGATAAGAGTTGGAGAAATTTGCTCATTTGTTAATAAAGCTACCTTTGCCTCAAGGCTGTGAAATTCTATATGATTTATTCAAGAGCTTTCGAAAGTCAGTGGCACAGAGAGATGTTTAAAATCCTGACCATCCTAGTGTCCGGGCTCAACTCTGGCTCCAAGAATAGAGTTCTACACAGCTTTTTCCCAGCATCAAGAAAATCCTTGTTCCAGTACTTGTCAAGTTAATCCTGGGAACAGTCAGCTTCTGAGTGACAATAACATGGAGCATCTGTGAATTCCTAGTTTTTCAGTTTTAGTGTTTTTGTATAGTTATAAACACTTTGTGACTGGTTTATTATTTTTTCTTGGTGAGCTCGTATACCAAGGAAGAGTTTTGAATTTCATATACCTAAAATTGGTAGATATAAAATTAAGCAATTTATTAGCATTAGGTTTTCGAAATAATTATGAATTTGTCATATTCCTTCATAAAAAAATGAAACACCATTATAATATTATGTTTCCTTTTGTGGTATGATTTGAATGAGTACTTTAAAGTTGGTAGTATTTTAGATTTCATGTCATTTGTAATTTGCATAAAATAAAGGAGCACAGATTTTCATAATTGTTTTATTCTACCAGTGTATTTTGTTAGAATCCCCTCCTGGTTTGGTTTATTTTGAAAATAAATGCATTTATTTTCATTTTTTTACAGATAGATGACTTTTAACAAAAAAAGTTTGACTTTTCATAACACTCAATTTCTTAGTCTTTGAACAGAAGATTTTCTACATGGAATAATTGATTAGTGATTTAGATGATATTCATCTAAAATGCCAGTAATTTTGTAACATTTTTTTGCTGGGATTACCACTCTGTAGTACAGGAATTACTCATAAGGACAATGATTAAAGCATGTACTGTTGTTTGTCGAACACTCTTCTTGATATGATATATTTCCATTTTACTAGGAAGCATGTTGTGTGCTGTCAGGTCATTTCTGACTCACAGCAATCCTGTATAGTGCTTATGAGAGTGACTGGTGGGTTTGACCTTGTGTTTATTATCAGACCAATGCTTACCCTACAGTGCCACAGAAGTATACTTACTGACTATTTCAATAGTTTGGTGTTTTTATTGAAAGTCTATAATAATTTAATATCCATGTGAATGATTGTCATCACTAGTAAATGGGGTTATATTGAAAATTATAACCTAGATTCCAGATAAGTAAAAGGACAGGTTCGTGATATAATTCTATCAAAATACATGGTGAAACCTTTATAAAAGGTTTGAAATTTAGTGTCAAATGAAACTAATAAAAATTAAAACTGTGCTGTGAAACAAAGCTTTTAATAAAATACCAAATAGGGTGGTATTCATACTTTTTGTTGTTTTTAAGAGTTTTAACATTTCTTCAATCATATATTTTAGTAATAATCTGTACTATCAGACTGACTTTTCAGAATTTTTCTATAAGTTTATTGAAACGATAAGACAGTGAACACTCATGTATCTACTTCCCAGTTGTCCTTGTTTTTACTCTCTAGGCAAATACACATATATGTAGATGTGGAACTTTTTTCTAATATCGGTGTGCAAACTAGTTTTTCGCAGGCTTACATTTGCTTTACCCTTAAATATTTCAACTCATGCTTCTTAAAAGTAAAGATCAGTTTCATTCCTAAAAACATTGATAATTTCTTAATATCAAATTATTTAGTTTAACTTGTAAGTCATGTAGTCCAGTATGGTTTTATTTCATCTTAAATTACACGATTAAGTAAATTATGAGTTGTTTCAACCTTCTTAAAGTTTGTTTTATTTTATTTTTCTTTTTGGTAAAACATGGTATGCATACACTTTCACAGTTAAAATCTTATTAATCAGCATGTAGATTTTTACTCTGGGGGAAAGATGGAAGAATTCAAGAAAACTTTTCTTTATTGTATCTAATCTTATACAGGACTCCTAGTGTGGTGCTGTAGGATCAGCACTGTACTGGGAACCACAGATGAGCAGTTCAAACACACCAACTGCTCCTCAGAAATCCTACTCAGGATCACTATGAGTCGGAACAGACTCAATGGCACTTAACAACAGCAACGGTAATTTGCTGTTGTCCTGGTGTTGCACTGTAGGATAAACACTGGATTGCAAGGTTGGTTTGAACTGCAAGGTTGGTGGTTCAAACTCACCAGCCGCTTCTCAGAAACACTACACAGTGTTGCTGTATGAGTCAGAATCAACTTGATGGCATTTAACAACAACAACTACATAAAATCTAGATAAATGCTATGTGTTTTCTTAAATTTTGAAAGCAGTGTCTCCTAAATTTTCTAGAAGTTGTTAAAATAGCAGTATGGATGTGTTGAATTTGAAATCTCCTAAGACTTCAACGGAGAACTCTATACGAATATTATTTTACTATTTGGCCCTTTTTCTAAATCATTGTTTGGATCATCTTTATAAGGGTTCCCATTTATTTGAAACTTGGACTTTGATTATCTTTTTATTTTACTTGTTGAAATTAGTGGTACAAACAGGCTTCAAACAGTGTGAAAATGGAATGGTACTATACTGGAATCATCTACAAACTTTTTGAAGCCCCCACATACATATTTTCTTTGGTTTATGATATTTCTGTGCCATAACTAAAGTGTTTTTTCTTCAATAGATAGAAAAAGTTTTCCAATTAATGTAGCCCAAGTTTATATGTACACGTTTAAAACTTTTTTTTCCCTCACAATTATATTGCTCTGAGTCTTTTACCATAATTTTACCACAATCAGCTCCCCTCTTTATAAATGAGTTTATCATGCTTTTTTTTTTTAAATCTTGATTAGATCAGGAATAAATCCCCCTCCCCCTTGCCCAATTTGACTTTATGGTTTAAAGCAATGTATTTTGAAAGCGTTGATAATTTAGTTCAATTTGTAAGTAAAATTTAAGTTCTGTCTGTAGTTTAGCCTTAAAATTAGAAGTAAACTTAGGTACTGATATGTATGCATAATTTTTTGTTTCAGCTCCCCCATTTTCTAAAAGAAAATCAATTAGTGAATGACTTTTAATATATACTTTATTTTTAAACTAAAATATGAGGGGGGTATCCCTTGCATCTGCCTATTATAATGTAATTTACTGGATCTTACAATTTTCAGTGCTCTTTATAAATGGGTTATTGATTTTGTTAACAGACTTTGGAATTGATAATGTCTAAAAGTTAACTAGTGTGCTACTTGTCATTACAGAGAGAACACTATTTTTATCATTTCCAATGTTATCCCTATCACTCTTAGGTAGAAATTATGCGTATATTTCCTACTTCCAAAAACTTGAGTATCCACAACATCTGTTTTGTTGATGTTGTATTTGTACCTCTGTGTTGTTGTTTTTGTAAAATAGGCATTGTTTGCTAACCAACCAGGCTTTTGTGGATGTGATTAAGATTTTGTGTATGTTTTTGTCTT